ATACAATCAAAGTAGGCAAGTAAATATGATTTTAAAATATAAAATTCATTACAAATTTTACTGTGTAGTATATGCTATAATGATATATTTACTATACACTAATACACGTCTGGGCCGCCTGTGATGGGACATATACTTTTATAGTATCGTTGTATTGTTTACAAATTAAAATATTAAATTGATTTCATAAACTTCAAGAATTCCTTGGGAATTCTTAAGGAATTCCTTTAAAATTCCGTGATAATACATGCGATTGTCTATAGTAAGGAAATATTAAAGGAATTTCATAGGAAATTTTAGAATTTAGATAGTTGCAATCATGGGTGAGCACATATTTTGTGAAACTAGCTGTTTCAAAATAAAATTGCATTTTAATTAATAAAGAAATGCAAGAATGTGAAAGAAACCAAATTATATACAGTGAAACTTTAAAGTGGGAAAGAGATAGGGTGGTGAAATACGGTTAGTGTTCTAAAATACTGAAATATATGCTGTACAGGTTTTATATCAGTGCATGGTTAATATATGTTTATGGGACTAGCATTGCACTATCTCGTGAAAAGGGAATATAGCGTTGAATAGAAACTATAAAAAACATTCATATTTCAATTTTACAAGTAGACAAATTTTAAGCCTTCAGATAACTATAATTCTTTATATAGTACCTTGCTATTGTAGGGGTAACCCATAATAATTAGGCATAACTGTTAGTGTGCTTTAATTACTCCAAAAGAAATAAGGGGCAAGGGATATTGGTAAACAAGTATTACCAATCAATCCTATTCCCTTTTAATTATAATGGCCACTGTGGTCAAAGCACCCTATAATAATTATTATTTACTCTCTAACAGCAGATGATCTTACTCATCAAGGGCAATTTTGTACCTTGATGAGTAATACGCATACAAAATACTAAACTGTTTCGTTACATATTTTATGTCTGAACCTTTGTCTTCGACATTGCAACAAAATAGGTTTGGGTGGGGTAAAAAAAATTTCTGGCATTCCACCGGTGGGGTAGCTAGAAATTTTGTTTCGAAAAAGGTGGGGTAATGATTTTTTCCGGCTTCATTATACTTTCTCTTCGGCCCCCACCCCTGCCATAAATAATGACCGGTCCCTTAGCAACATAATAGTCTGTCTTGACCTTTTTTGAAGTTGCTTTATGGCAATTTATAGGATCACTTATAACAACATGCAGGAAATGCCATTTCAGAAGACTTAATTTTTATTATTTTCCCCCAGAAGAACTAGATTTCAATTCACTGAACAGTCTCCCTAATTTTTACCTCCAGTGGTTGGAATGTCTGCAATCGGACATCACCACGTTTCCAAACTATGACATCATATACTGTGTAAACTACATAGTTTTATATAGTTCTGAACAGACAATGGTAAAATGTTATCTATTTTTGAAGACTCTTCCCTTGATGAGTAAAACATCTGGATTAAATAGTCTCACCGATAGAGTAAAATAAAACAGGGACCGTGGAGCCTGTTTAAAAGGGGGGGGGGGCAGGATAGCATGGGAGCTAATCCACACAGGCATGCAGGCGCTGTCCAGACTTTATCCCGTAAATTTTATTATCCACCGAAAAAGTGGGGGGGGGGGAAGCATGCTTCCCCCTGTTCTGCAGTCCCAGTAAGAAAGTAGCCAGGGTTCATTTGGGTACATTGCAGCTTAATGGGCTGACCAATATATCTCAGGGGCTGCTCATTGGCCGATAGTGTATTAAATTAACCCACTGCGAGGCAGCAGTGAGCATGAACAGTCTCCTCTTAAAATCATCTGGCATTAGACAGACAGAGTAAAACAATAAAGACAGTCTTTTATATATGGCTCATCAGGACAGGGCACATTGTCAAATGTAGGTGGGCCTCCTCTACTCAAGTCTCTCTGGTTTTGTGCTATCTATATCTATTAATTCTGCATTATGATGGGCAAGTATATAAATTTCACATCATATTAAACCTTTATGAACATGTAAACAACCACAATTTATATAAGTAATTAAAAACTGGCAGTCTCTGTCTGGCAATAAAACCACAAAGGCCAGTGCCGACACTGAAAACAACATAATTTCATGTAGTACACAATATTTAATCATTAACAATATTTTTATGTCCCCTATTGAAATATTTGCTGTATATATTAATAGGATGATGAGTTTTTGACATAATATATGAAGGGTCTAGTGACCGACTCAGAGTCTCAGACTAGCTAGTCGTCTAGAGTTTAATATAAAAAAGTTTCGTGAATCTTACCTGAAAGAATTAGACTTTCTTTTTAGTTTCTTTGTAGTAAAGTGCTGCATCCACAAGCGAAGCAAACTGGCGTTGTAAAACAAGTAATGTGCGAGGGAAATATTAAGATTTTTGCTCAAAAACAACAGAAAACTTGAAATATCTTTATATTTACTATTATTTTAAATATATCTGTGCAAAAACCAGGGGGGTTAAGGATATCTTCGAAAGCTTAGGATCGCGGTTGGTCAGTGGCAATTACCATGAAAATAAAGTAAGTGTTGTCATGGAAATGGCGTCAGATCCGCCATGTTTTTGCGGACACTTTTTTATCCCGAGCAGGTCCTCCAGTAATATAGTATAGCTCAGTGGTCTAGACAGGGTTTTATCCACTGAGCTATACTATAACTGGAGGACGTGCTCGGCATCAAAAAGTGTCGCCAAAAACATGGCGGATTTCAGCCTTTGCTGACGCCAGAATGACGCCATCTGGTTCCTTTTGCTCATGCAATTACCACTGAACAAGGCTCAATTTTGAGCCCGCTACAATTTCTACTCCCCCTGATTTTTGCAAAAAATATTTTGTTGTTTTTGCAGTCGTAGTTTTGGATTTTTAACCATAGGCAGCCCAATGTTATGGTTGCCTGCCTGCCTGCCTGCGCGCGGGCGAGGCATTGTATAGTTAACTGTATTAATATTTCCGAAGGTAGGCAAATGCAATCAAACTAACGATACATTATACCTTCAAACAATCCAAAATACTTCAAATATCTTTACATCTACGCTAAACTAATCAGGGAAATAAAATCTACGATACTTTTACTATATACTAACAATATTTTAACGTACAAAACAAATTTGTAATGCGAGAAAAATACGAAAAGTTTTTGCATTTTTTTTCAATTCTTGAATGAGACGATGCTGGATTCGCGCTCGACGTTTTTGATGGCGTTTCAAATGACGAATTTCCAATCTCATTGGCTGTCATTTTTACGGTTTAAAACGTCGAAAATGACAGCCAATGAGATTGGAAATTCGTCATTTGAAACGCCATCAAAAACGTCGAGCGCGAATCCAGCATCGTCTCATTCAAGAATTGAAAAAAAAATGCAAAAACTTTTCGTATTTTTCTCGCATTACAAATTTGTTTTGTACGTTAAAATATTGTTAGTATATAGTAAAAGTATCGTAGATTTTATTTCCGTGATTATTTTAGCGTAGTTGTAAAGATATTTGAAGTATTTTGGATTGTTTGAAGGTATATGTATTGTTAGTTTGATTGCATTTGCCTACCTTAGGAAATAATACAACTATACAATGCCTCGCACGCAGGCAGGCAACCATAACATTGGGCTGCCTATGGTAACATTTCATTAAATATATGTTTTATAATATATTTTTACTATAATCACAGTATACTAATGCAAGATTGGGCCACCTATGATTTATAGTACTTTATACTAATGCAAGATTGGGCCACCTATGATTTATAGTACTTTATACTAGCTGCATGGTAACTGGATAGTGATTATTTCAACCATTTGTAAAAATGCTTAAAAACTGTGAAACTACGGATATATACGACAAACGAAATAAAAAACATCAAACTTATACACACTAAAGTCTAAACTTTAAGGTGAGTTATATGAATCAACGATTAACAATGGTTGAAAAATCACTATCCGGTGGATAGCAGTAGTGATAGTAAAAAAGTATTCGATAAAAAAGTGGGGGTGTGGGAATTTTTTTTTTTAATATAAAATAGTATTACGAAAAAGTGCATGGTCAGCAAAAAAAAGTGAAAAAGTGTCTCCCCGGACGGGGGGAGTTTTTGGCTCCCCATGACGTCCCAAGAAGGACGGTTGTGTCGCAATAATGCGGTTGCGCAACATTAAAGGAGGAGATGTGTCCCCAAAGCTGTGGTCGACCGAAGTGAGGACATTTGAATTTGGCGGTGAATTTATGGCGTGTGTCACGTGACGCATGTGACGTACTTCCGGTGACGCACGTCCGGCACCCATTTTCGGGGTTGCGTGCGGGCGGTGTGGAAACATGTTGATAATAGGGTGCATTTAGGGAAACAACAGATTATATGAGGGTTACCATGGGTTACCATGGATCCGTAATCCAGTCTCCAATCTGGACTCCATTACCCACAGTCCAGTCCTTAGTATGTAACTTGATTGACAGATGACAAAAAAGACCGAATTCATAAACCTGGACTCATAAAATTTTGGACTGGAGACTGGAGTATGAATCCGTAATTATTGTATTTTCGTACCGTAATAATTGTGATAGCATAGTAAAAGGTAGTTAAAAGCCAAATAAATGCAAGGGTATATGTCTGCCGACTTAATACATTGCTAATCGTAGGCGGTGTGGCGGAAATGGATACGCGTTAGGGTCCCAATTCTTTGTAGGAGAGGCGGGTGGAAGTCCTAAGTCAATGGGGGTTCGAATCCCTCCTAAGTTGTTGCGATTAGTGTTGTGTTAAGTGTCAGACATATATTTTTTTAATATAATACATTAGTATGTCTTGTAGCTTTTATTGTTTCTTTCCAATTTTGTTTTTTTAAAAGCGATTACAGGGAATTCTGCACAGAGACTACAAAATTTGTGGTTGTCCATGCAGAAAACTATGCAATGCCAACCAATAATTCTTTGCTCCATTTATGTTTTTTGTAAATTGCAAAGTGTGACATTTTCAAACACTGCAACCCGTTAAATAAATCAACGAGTTGCAGTGTTTGAACATGTAACAGTTGCCACGACTTCTTCTTTTTCTTCCCTTATACATCTTTAATGTGCAAACAAATACAGGGTATTTTGCAAAGAGATCTGACAGAATTTGTCATCCTCTTTGCAAAATACAATGTGGTGTTCACAATAATTTTTATTTTAATGTTTTATAATGCTACAATGTTATTTCGATAGCCGTTTTGCATTTCGTCAAGTTCTGCTAAACCATCGCTCCCCGCATTTTCAAACCATTCGTTGTTTTCTGAAAATGTAAATTCTTCATCTTCATCATTGAACCATTCACAGTCTTCGTTGAACGCCAAACAGCAAGCATTGCCTTCAAACAGCTCTTTCATTTCTAAAATAAATGTTGTCGATTGATGAAAAATGTCAATGTAATTGTGACGAGGAAGATTTTGGACGTAAATGTCTATGCGGTTGTAAATGTGGGTTGTGTAAGCTAATTGCCGACATAGACGAGGATATAGAGCGGAAAAAAAAACAAGATTCTGGGCAAAAACGTTGTAAGCGTAACGAAAATACTTGTTACGAGTGTTTATGTAATAAACGTGAAGTTTGTGTGTGTGAATAAAATGGTCGATGAAATTAATTGGGATCAATTAGATGATTGGGAAAGAAAGCGGCAGGAAAATTTAAATATTATACGCAAATCTAGGACTTTTGAGATGTTTGAGCAAAGACTGTGGGGCGAAATAAATGCGTGGAAATACTGGGATGAAATGGTCGAACCGTTGGAGAAAAATAAACTTGATATATCTCGTTTTTTATATACTGCCGCAAGTTGGGGTACTGATGGTGATGACCCTTTACTGGACGATTTTATAAATTATATCTACGTGTCAGCAAAGTGTTGTGTTTTTAATATTATTATAGAAAATTGGAAAAAAATTGTATTTGTAAAATAATGCTATAAAATAATGTAGATTGGTGAACATGCATTCATAACGATGGGGCGTGCGGGTAACACAACTTCGTGTGCAATACCGTGGATAAAGCGGGTCGAGGAAGGTGCAGCAATTCAACAAGTCGGCGGTAGTGTTGTGAGGCTAGAAAAAGGAGCGCGGGTAAAGTTAGCACAAAAAGGACGTTGCTGTAAGAGAAGAA